TTTGGGTTGCATGGCATCGGAACAATTGGATAGACAAAATGAGAAAAAGGATATTAGTTATTTATATTAATATATTATAAGTTGTAATATATTAATATGAAATCATATTATATAATTAGTATTGATCAAGAATAAATCTAGAATTAATTTAGTGATAAAAAAGGAACTAATTAAATATGGAGTCTTATATATATATATATATATATATATATATATATATATATATATATATATATATGTGTGTGTGTATGTGTGTGTGTGTGTGTTGTGGTCCAAGTTCATTTAGGTTGGGCTAAGCTTTCATGGATAGGACATGGAGTGTTTAACCCATGGAACATATGTAAATGAAAGGTCATGGGTATTAGGGTTTACATGAATGTAACCCTAATCTCTACACTATATAAAGAGGTCATTGGTTCATGAATCGTGCACTAGTGATTATACATAAGAGGGCAAAACTGATTTGGTGTAAGTATCGTTATTCTCTAGTTATTCCAAGGGTTCTTGGTGTTATGTGAACCATTTGAGGTGCAACACTTGAGGCACTCGGCTCCTAAAGGTTCAAGACTTCAAGCTCCATCAAAAGGTCTGTCATTCTACTAGATTCTTGTAGTATAGTTGCTTCATAATATGCTAGTTTGGATGAAACCTTGGAATATTGAATATTTGCATGTATAATAGAGAAAACATGTATCCAAGGTTTATAGGGTTGCATCTACACCATAGGAGTGTTAGAATGCTAAAATCCCATCATATATGATCCCTTATCTAAAGGATGCATCACTGACTAGCTTAGAGTTTGACAGCCACTTTTGAAAGCTACGATTGCTAGGTCAGATTTTGAAGTTGCATTGGCAGTTATAGTTATTAGACTTGTCCAAGTGGGAAACTATTGGATTAGCTGGCTAAGCCCATAAATATAACTGGGATGTACTTGACCTGATAGTAGCATGGTCTTTTTGGGTTGCATTCACTGGTGCAATTTGATAGGATAGACTTTTGAGAATAAGGCTATTTGTGATTTATTAACATATTATAAGTATAATATATTAATTGAGAAATCATATTATCTAATTAGTATTGGTCAAAAATTAATTTGGAATTAATTTAGTAATCAAAAGAGACTAATTAAATATATAGGGGGTGATTAAGTAAATCAATGATTCTTATAGTGTGGGCCAATAATCCATGGTTAATTATGATGGGCTAAACCAATATGATAGTCCATGGATAGTCTATGGAGGTTTCACCCATGGATCCTATGTAATATGAAGGTTCATGGTGCATTAGGGTTTGCATGGATGTAACCCTAGCCATTGTAACACTATAAAAAGCACACCCCTAGAGCCAAAATTGGTGGCTCTATTCATTCTAAGTGAGTGATAATTTATTTTTAGCTAACTAGCCTATTCTCTGAAGTCTCCTCTTACATTTGGTATTTGTGACACATTAGAGGCATCATACTTGAGGTGCTAAAGCTTTGTAAGGCCAAGAAATTCAAACTTCATAAGAGGTATTCATTTAACTATGAGTTTTATGTTGTCTATCCTCTATTGGATGCTAGTTAGGATGTATGTTTTAGAAAATTGAAATTGAATGTATAGTTAGAGAAAACACAGATCCAAACCATCTAGGGTTGCATGTGCTCCATAGGGGTATTGTAGTGCTTAAAACCCAAGAAATACCACATACCATACATATCATATGAGCCATACATATCAAACATACAATAGGAGGTGTTATGTGCCAACCATAGTCTTGTCATTATGCCATAAGCCGTATCATGGTCTTTCTTGCGAAGCCAAGATCCAAAACCATGGGTCTTACAGACAAGAACCAGGAGCCACCTCTTGGTCTTCCATGTAAGCATCACAAAGACAACTAGCATATAATCTACAACTACTTAACCAACTAACTGCCAGAGTTCAGACTCTGGTCTTGCATACAAATTGCCAGCAGCCACCTCCTGGTCTTTCATACAATTGCTAAGGGCCACCCCTATGTCTTCCGATAATACATAAACCAAATAGGCCGACATTGGTGCCTTCAACCCATAGTACAGTGAGGAGACTCACCTCAACAGCTAAACCTACAAAAATATCTCTGACTGCAGATCCGCTAGAATCCTTGTGCTATCAAACAAATAATACCCAATTATCAATTAGGTTCCAAGCCAAATCCAATAATCCATAAATGGGGTAAAATACCATCTTACCCTTCACCTAGTTTGGTCCAAGACTAAGGCCCAAACTTTCCATCATAAAGGCCCATAAACCAAAAGTCATCAAAAGCCCACTTATGGCCCAATTTTCCAAATTAAGCCCAACCCTTACATAGGCCTTACCCTAAAGCCCAATAACTTTATCTAATCCAAAACACATGTTCAGAGCTGGTCGAACAAAACCCCAAGCAATCCAAGCCCAAGCGACAGCCAAATCCGAAAAGAAATTACAAGGCCCAAATATCCGAATTGGGCCCAAATCCATCATGGACCTATCTCGAGAAGGCCCAACATCCTAAAACGCCCGAAATATCCAATGGTCCACCCTAGTCCACTCTGGTCAATGGTCAAATGCCCAAAAAGTCAACAATTCACAAAAACCCAATCTGGTCAAATACGCCCTACATACACAGCTGGTACGCCCAGTGTACAACCTTTGGGGCCAGTACGCGTAATATGCCAAATGGGTACACCCGTCGTACTCCTCTGAACCCCAACCAACTCCAAAAAGCACTTAATCACTTAAGCCCTTGTTCTAAACTCTCATATCTGATTCCCATAGATGACTTATTACGTAAATTTGGCAACTCTACTTGCATACATATCTTATATGGGACTCTAAAGCTTAAAAGAGCTTAATGAAAGGTCTTAACACATGCATGAGTCCAAACGAACCATAAAGATCACATTTTTATGCCTTTGGGACACCTAAAACGTCCAGATCCACAATATCAAACCTCTGAAACAACCATAGCTCACAAGAGCCACCAAAAGAGGGTAAAAGGACTATGAACAACCCCAAAAAGAAGATCTAACCAAAGAGTGAGCAAGATAGAGACTTTATACCTTCAAGATCAGGAAATGATAATGCAACTTCCGGATCTCTAAGATCATTTCAAAATAGTGAGTCATGAACCTTCTCCTTCTCTTACACAAGCCACCACAAACACTTCCCTAAGCTCCAAGACTTACTTAAGGCACTCTTGGGTTTTAAGATAGATGAAAGGATATGGAGGCTAACTAAAAAGACCCAAAGAAAGGTTATAATGATATAAGGGTAAGAACCCCAAAATTAGGGTTTGGCTCGAAGGGAGTACACCCAGCATAACCATTATTACGCTCGACATACTCACGAATGACCACTTTACCCACTACGCCCTGTATACTCATCTAGTACGCCCCGAATACTAGATGACCTTCCAACACTTAGAACTTTACTCGACCCTAGATCCTTCGTCCTAAGTCTGTATCCAACGAACTCTATATCCACTGAAAGGTGACGAGAAACCCTAAACTTCTATCAACCTACCCTCTCCTTAAAACATCTAGAACAAAAACCCAAAATTCATACAGGACCGAGTTAACAAATTAAGATTATACTCATGGGCTCCGAAAACACCATCGAACACTTATATCACTTAAATCATAACTCCCACATCCAAAAAGGGCCAAACCATTTCTTCCCCAAGTCCTTAAGCCTCATGATAACTGATGATTGGGCTATAGCCCCGAATAATAAAGCAATCCAAAACCGAGTGTTACATTATGCAAAAAAGTTGAATTACTAATTTCAATATAATGTTAAATAGTTAATATCATAGCTAACATATGGATGTATACTAAAGCGCAGTGAGACAAACTTATCAAATGGTCATGAGTTGTTTTTCTTTTTATATGTGTTTCTTTTGTGTATTGTAAGACATTGAATGTGATTTTTTTTTTTTTGGTAATAGTTAGTCTTCATATATATATATATATATATATATATATATATATATATATATATATATAGGTCATGAACCGTGATTTAGTTGAATATTTGTACATTTAGAAAAATATATATTTATATATATATATATATATATATATATATATATATATATATATATATATTAAAGTTGTGAAGGAAAAGAACAGTAAAATTGGCATAGTTTGTCCACCTTTGGTCCCTTAATTTACATATCTGGTCCCTCTACTTCTTTAATTAATTTATATCATATCCTTTTGTTTGTCTTCTATTCCGTTATTTTAATTTATTACTTTCTTTTCTTTGTTTTGATTAATTTAAGGGTTTCCGCTCCACCGCTTTCACCAGATTCTCGATTGTTCTTCACCCTCTCATATTATCTTCATTCTTCCTTTTGGGATAGTCATGTTTAGTCCACCGCCTTACTATCCAACGAGTTGATCTACTTCTTCTTCATCCTTCAGCACCTCCTTCGCATCAACTTATTTTAGCTCTGCGATGGTTACAGATCGCTTCCATCTCTCATGCGTCGTCTCTACTTGATTCTTCCTTTTGGGATAGTCACGTTTAGTCCACCGCCTTACTATCCAACCAGTCGATCTAATTCTTCTTGATCCTTCAGCACCGCCTTCACATCAAGTTAGCCTTTCCTTGCATATTTGTTTCTATTTGTTAGCTATGCACCTCCGCCACCCTTTTCATTTTTGGTCCAGGCGACTGAAGAGGACTTTGGAGCAGGTAAGCTTCCTCCCAACAGATACATGGCGAGAAAGTCTCCTTTTTTCCTCTCTCGCATCATCTACACTTTCTTATCTTCCCACAACTTCTTTTTTATTAAATTAACTGAGTTGGGTTTCTTCCACACAGTAAGTCTGCCATGAACGATCGACCGTTTCGAGGATTTGTCGTCGTGTGTCCCACAATCTGGATTTTCAGGCTTCTGTTGAAGCCCTTACCAGTAAGATTTTCCATCTGAAGGGTCGATTCATAGAAGGTTGTCGCATCTTCCCTATTTTTCTTGAGTTTTCATCTATGATCCTTGATTTTCAGTTGTTGATTCCTTCAATCAGGTGAATCTTCTCTATGAAAACTTAGTTGAGTTCTGTACACCACAAATTTGGCCAATTGTTTTTTTTAATATTTTCATTATATCTCCACATATGATGCTTTATGATGTTTGAGAATCAATTTTTTTTCCCAAGGTAATATCACATTTTTCTTGAATTTCTTGTGTTTCTTGCACACAAGTTGTTTGATACATTGTCTGTATGTGTATTCTAATGCAACTGTCACATGAGCGCCATGAATGAAACTCCCAAGTAGAAATTGCACAGACTCACTCTTCTTAACGGTCTCTGTGTTTCCACTGAGTCTAATCTAGCCTCCCAGACGGCTGCCGTTGGGGTATGGATTAATGCAAGGTCATAATTTCAGACAGAAGGGAACAATGGGGTTGATCAGATATATTGCATTGCAGAACTTGAGTTTTGATAAAACATTGATCAATCGTGAGCGTGGTATTATTCTACATAAGACGGAAGAGGTTTGTGTGTTTGCATTTTTATTTGCCTTGATTCAGTTTGGTTTGTAGGCTAAGATTAGATTCAACACTCAGTTCCAACTACAACTATAGGATAATCATGTATCAGCTGTTTTACTGATTGTATATGTTATTTCAGATGAGAGCACAAACAGAAGAAGTAATCTTTGATCATTTGCATTCTACTGCTTTCCAATACACGCCCCCTTAGAAGGACCATTCTTGGACCTGCTGAAAACATCCAGAAAATAACTTAAGATTACATTTCAACCCACTATGAAGCTCACAGAATGGTATCCAACTCAAACTTTAACCCATTTTAGTATGATGTAAAAATATAAGTATCTACTCTTTTTGTCTGTCACACGTAATTTTAGCTTCTGGGACTGTTAAACATGTGAAGCGATTGAGGAACGAAACATGATTTGGGAGTATATGCTTACACTGTCCGGTGGTAATGGAAAGATAGACAAAGATCAAACTTTCTTAGATGGAGAAGAAGTAAGTATTTGGTTTACAAGTTTCTAATGATTAGGTCACAATTATTGCAAATTTTGTGTTTTTGTGTCCAAGAATGTTTGATGTATATATATATATTTTTTAATTTTTTAGTCTAATTTATGTTAATTATGATTTGTAATGTAATCACTAGGTTGAAGAGGTTATTCGCACGATGGAGGTAGAGGTTGGTCGTTCATGGATATTGCAAAGTATGCAACATCCCCATGTTTGGTGAGTAATTTTTAAATTTTTTTTCTATGTCAAGATTACTAACGAGGGTATTATTGTAATATGTGATGAAGTCGGCAGATGTGGGTGGTGTCTTTTAAGTTGCACAATAAAACATTTTTCAACTATTTTTACGCTATTTCTCCAATATTTTTTTTTACAAATACGCCACCAAATTACTTTTTTCTCACATCCAAATTCAATGAAGGTGTGTGTCTTTGTTTTACTATGATATTTATTTCCAATATCTATCACTCACAATAGTAAATTAACGACTGTTGTCTTATTCGTTGCAGCTTGGATATGGTTCAGCTTCCATAGAATTGCTATTAGGGTACTTTAACATGTTTATATTGGTATTTCCATATATACCCTTTTAGTTTTATCAAGTTGTAAATTCTTGTAAGTACTTTGAAGCACAATTCACTTCCATCTCTGAAGAAGATGTTCAAAAGGAATCAGACTCTCCACATCTCAAAATCACTAAAGCTGTTGAGAAAGTAAGATCGATAACCTTATTATTAGTAAAACTAATTTTAATTGGATATATAAAAGTTTCTGAAATTTATAACTGTATTGTATTTGCGAGGTGTCATTAAGCTAAATAATTATTAAATAAACCGGTTATTGTAATTAAATTTCATAATTTTTACAGATTCGCCATCTGTCAATGCCCCACTTTGGATAAATTGGCTAACATATTGGAGTCTTGCTTTAGATTTGGTCATAATCTCTTAAAACAGTATCGACATGTGACTTGTAACGACCAAAAATTTCAACAAAATTTTAAACTTTTCAAAAACAACCCATTTTAATAATGTTATTACAAAAAGGTTTTCAATACATTTATTATCAGAGTATTCCCAGAACCATGTCATACACATAAACACGAGGAGCGGTACGATCACACCTTCGCCTTGCCACGGTCTCCTGAAGAATCTAAAAAACATTAAACCACAACTGTAAGCCCGAAAGCTTAGTGAGATACCCCCAAAATACCAACCACATATACCATACACATATAACATGTCGTATCATAACCGAATCACAGAACAGCCATGCATATCGGGTCTACTGTGTGACTGGTTCGCCGTATCGGGACTTCAGTCCACTGGGTCCACCCTTTGAGTCTAGTCATGTCCCTCGAGTCTGCAGTGTGGTTGGTCCGCCCGCACCGGGCCTTCAACCCACCTGGTCCACTCTCTGAGTCTACAGTATGAATGGTCAGCTCGCATTGGGCCTTCAGTCGGCCTGGTCCACTCTTCGAGCCTCGGCACGTCTGGTCCGCCCTCATGGGGCCTACAGCCTATCCGGACCGCTCGTTGGGCCTTCGGAACAACCGGTTCGCCCTGGGTATCTTGGTCTACAGCACAAAGCAGGATCCGCCTCAACCCAACTCCAGTCCAAACAACCATGTGCACATAAACATACAATCATATAACAGTTCACAGTCAACAAGTCGATCAAACAGATCACATAACATATCATCATCCTAACCAGGATACCGACCTAACCGGTCACTAGCATATACCATCCTAACTACCAGGATGCAAACATATCAAAGCAATAGCATAACAACAAATACCCGGATCTCAATCCGATAAAGGGTCGGCCTTGGTGCCTTAGACCCTATTGATATAGTGACGATAACTCACCTTGCGATTGCTAATACTCTGAACTGAAGAAGCAGATTTTCGAATCACCAACTCACCGCAAATCCCGAAGTAGCCCACATAGCACAAATACCCATTAGGCCAAGCATATATATTCACTTATCAGGCCAAGGCCAAAGTCCAAATCCTATACAAAGTCCAATATTGGCCCAATTTACCAAATTGGTCCCAACTCACCAAATTGGCCTAGATCCAAGGTCCATAATAATAATTGGGCCCAAAATACTCTATCCAAAATTTCCAGTCATGGCCCATAAACCAACAACACACAAATAGCCCAAACTCTAAGGCCCAACATTAAAATCCAATCAGGGGAAGTACGTTGGGCGTACCCTCCTTGGTACGAGGGGCGTACACGATGAATCACAACTAGGGATCAGGGCACTAGCCAGCTACGCGGGTCGTACTCAAGTGCTACGCGGGTCGTAACCCTGCCACTCATTAAGTCCTTATAACTTCTTATTGGCTTAAGCTCTTAAGCCCAAACTTCAGATCCCTAGGCCAAATATGCCTAAGATTCATAAAGTCTCAAACTTTATTACTTGGGACGTCCATAAAGCTCTTAATCCAAGGTCTTAATCCATTAATCCGTACATATCTCACACATTGAACAACCACAGCCCTTGGGACCTCATTTTTTCTCCCTCAAGACCTCTCCAAAGGTCTGAAAGGACAGATAATCTCGGCCAACACAAAGCATGAATCTAGATGAGGACTTTTGGGACAAGAAACATGCTAAAACTTCACAACACTTAGATCTATGCAAAATAATTGACAAGCAAGAAGCTTTATACCTCAAATAAGCTCCAAAGGATGATATCTCTCTAGATCGACAAGCTCCAATCGCTCCTTTCCTTCTTTGACCACTTCTCCTTTCTTCTACTAGCTTTTCTTTTGCCAAAAAGGAGCTTTCCAAGGCCAAACACACCCAACAATGGAGGGAATACGGGTTTCTAGGGTTCCTGAGGTTAAGGGTGAGCTTATGGAGGCTAGGGTATGAACCAACATGTTCCTTATATAGTGGCTGACCCTAATTTTAGGGTTTGGGGTTTCTGAGAGTATATTGGGCGTACCTCTAGTACACTGGGCGTACTCACCTTGCCACCCTGCACATCTCCCTTCACTACACTGGGCGTACGTCCAGCTTACGCTAGCGTACCCAGCCAAACTCTAAAACACATGCATGGCTTGCATGGATCCCCTTTTTCCACTTTTTCGTTAAGATCTATAATCAATTATCATCTTTAAAACTCCACAACTCCTCTACTCTAAACCCGCTCCCAAATAACTTTACATTCAGACGAGGGTGGCGAGAAGCCCTATGCTTCTAACAACATACACCAGTCCGAAACCTTCTCAGATAAAACCCATTTCCCATAAAAGGACCAAAATTACTCTTCCTCTTAAATCTTAGGGACTCATAATTAAACACTTTAAGAACGGGGTGTTACAATTCTTCCCCACTTAAATTAGGCTTCGTCCTCGAAGCCTGCGAAAACTCTACTCCAGAACTACCCCCGCAATGCACCGCCTGGCATTCACCGGACCAGGTTCCTTAAGACACAACCAACGAATCCTGAAACCCAACTATCCCTTTCTTGATGACAGGATGACACATGCCTCACCCTCAAAGCAACTCCCACAAGTCCTCCACCGCAATCTCATAACCACATTGAACTGGCTCTAGTGTCCCCGGGTTAGGAAAAACTCGATACACTGATGACACTGCCAAACATCCTTCAGGGTGAATCCCCACCACAAAACAAAGTCTAACTGGAAATCCGAGATTCCATCCATGCATCCCCGCCGAGCCTCTGCAACCATCCCACCCGGATGTGATCCCATACCACGGTCGCAATTACGCTGCTCAATCACTATAACTGGACCACTCCAATCCTAACTCTGCGCTGCTGCTTTCACTTCCGTGAATTTACACTCCCTCTCGGAGCTACATTCCGCTCTCTTTCCTTACCAAGGAATCCACTTGGCCGCTTTGTCACTACGACAAGTGCCACGGTGCTCGCCCAACGCTACACCACTCCCTTTATAGCATAACCGTTATCCATACAACACACATGCTCTGAATCTGCTCACAAGGACTCTCGAGTCCATGCACCATCTCCACCAATCGAGAACAATACCCGGGGTCAGACCTTCTAATGCTAACACATCACTACATACTCAACCCCTTTCCTCGAACCGGTCTAACAATACCTGCAGAGTCTTCAACATGACTGGTCCGCCTTACTAGACCTTCAGCCAATCTGGACCACTCTCAAAACCTTCAGCCAATCTGGACCACCCTCCAGGGCCTTCAGTCTGGCTGGACCGTCCTCCGAGCCTTCGGTCTGAATAGTACACCTACCGGTCTTCAGTCTATCCGAACCGCTCAACTAGCATTCATCACTCCGAGTTATCTCTCCGGGAAATCCTCCCATGCATACTGTTCTAGCCCTCTAGGGGTTCCGAACTCTATCTCCATCATACATACTCGATCCCGGCCTGATCCCAGACCCTCCACAATCAATACCATAGGTCTATATCCCGCCCCGCACGCCTACCACTCACTCATACCAGCCTGCTCTCGGCTGACAGAAACACTGCTGAATCCCAAGCAGCTAAACAATCTCTCATGCCTATCGACCATCCGGAGAATTTCCAATTCTCCCCCACTTAGAGCACCGACTATCAACCATCGGTCGATATCACCGACCTCCCAAAACAACCTTGCACAAAACCCAACACTTACACGCGGACTGATTCCCACTAGCACTAGCAACCTTCACAAAATCACATTTCCACACTGATCATCCCGCTCGAAAGAAACTCAATCTTCAACTAACCACTCCTCAGACTGCAGATGCTACCCATCATTTAGACCAATGCCATATTTCCACTAATAACCTTCATGAATGATAACCAACGAAAACCTAAACACTAACCCATAACCATACCAAACCCTCAAGGAACAACGGATACCAAAACGAAAACCACATAACGAGACTAGCAGATAATAATACTCCACATTAATCACAAGATAACAAGATATCAAGAAAGGAACATACCCGCAGCTACATCCGGCACTACTCTGACCTCCTCTACTGTAAGCTGAAAAGCACGACCCTGAGCCCTTGGGGGCTCCGCTCCACCCTGACCTCCACCCGTGATCCTCAAAGTGGCCGGTGCTGGAGCCTGCACCGGTCCCGCAGCAAGCTGTGGACAATTGACCCTCAAGTGCCCAACCTAATGACAATGATAATAGATCCTCAAATCCCCACCCGGGGCTGCCTGCCGACAATCCCGCGCATAGTGCCCCTCCTTTCCGCACTTGCGGCATGCACCACTGGACCTACAAACTCCAGTGTGACCCCTCCCACACTTCCTGCAACCGTGGCTGCTCTGATCTCCCACCCTGGAATCAACGGTCTTGGACCGTTTCGATGCCGGCTGTGACTGCATCGGAGCTTGCCTCAACTCACGCAACTGCAACTCAATCTCCAACTCTCGCCGCCTGGCGGCCTCCTGCAACTCTAAAAAGGTCTCGCACCTCTGCGTGGACACAAACTGTCTGATATCTCTCTTTAGCATACTCAGATATCGGGACATCTGAGCCTGCTCCAAAGCGAACTCAGGGCAAAACATCGCCCTCTTAGTAAACATCCTGGTGATCTCCGTCACCGACTCCGAATCCTGCTTCAGCTCAAGGAACTCCTGAGCCAATCTCTCCCTCTGAACCTGCGGAACATAACAAGTGCTAATCATCTCTCTGAACTGATCCCATGAAACTGCGGCCCTCTGCGCATCCGAATATGACCCCGTGATCAATCTCCACCAATCCTTTGCCCCGAGCCTTAATAGGTTCAGAGCACACCTCACACTCTGATCAGCAGGGCATGAACACGTGAAGAAACACC